ACTGTTGCCAGTGTTAGTTCCCTTGAACTCCTGGTGTGGCGCTGTAGGATCAACACTGGACTACGAACCACAAGGTTGGCAGTTCAAACCTACCAGCTGCTCCTCAGAAACCCTTAACAACAGCAACAAGTGATAAAGAACCTTGTCTTGAGCACTGGGAAAAGAACCAAAGAAATAAGATGGAGAAAAGGAAGAGATTTATCTCTTTTGTACGGTTTCATGGAAATGTAAGTGTAATTACAGAATTATAAAAATGAAACAAGCCCACAAGAGCTAAAATATGACCTTGAACATATCCCACCTGGATTTACAGACCATCTGAAGAACAGATTTGATGCATTAGAGACTAATGGTTGAAGAACAGAAGAGTTGTGGGATTACATCAAGAACATCATCCAGGAAGGAAGGAAAAGGTCATTAAAAAGACAGGAAAGTCAGGACAAAGTTGAGAAGGGATTAATGTTGGGTGGAATGCCAATGGAACCACAGGGAGAAAGTGAATAACTGTTGTTGCATGGAGGGAATTGTAATCACTGAGATGAAACAAAGTGTATGATTTGTTAAATGTAAAGTTGATCTTGTCTGCAAACCTTCACTCCATTCACAAATATATATATATATACAGAAAAGAAAAGAGACCAAAATGGATGTCAGAAGAAACACTGAAATTTATTCTACAACACTGAGATGCCAAAACAAATGGAAAAAATGAGGAAGTAAAAGAGCTGAACAGAAAATTTCAAAAGGCAGCTCTATTTGTCTGAATACAAACGCATGTATTATAATGAAATGTGCAAAGACCAGGAGTTAGAAAATAAAAAGGGAAGAGCATACACAGCATTTCTCAGATTGAAAGAACTTAAAAAAAATTCAAGCCTCAACTTTTAATACTGAGGGATTCTATAGGCCAAATATTGATTGGTGCAGAAAGCATCAAAAGAAGATGGGAGGTATGCATAGCGTCACTGTAACAAAAAGAAATGATCAATGTTCAATCATTTCAAGAGGTAGCATATCATCAAGGACCAATGACACTAAAGGAAGAAGTACATGTTGCACTGAAGGTAGTGACGGAAAACAAGTTTCCAGGAATTGACTGCATACAAATTGAAATCTTACGAAAGAGTGATAAAGCACTAGAGGTGCTCACTTATCTATGCCAAGAAATTTGGCAGACAGCTACCTAGCTAACCAGTTGAAATAGATGATTATTTTTGCCCATTCCAAGGGGAGGTTACCCAACAGAAAGTGGAAATCATCAAATAAGATCATTAATATCACATGCCAGTAAAATTATGATGTTGTTGTTGTTGTTATGTGCCGTGGAGTCGGAACCGACTCATAGCGACCCTGTACAGGGTTTCCAAGGGTGTAAATCTTTACGGGAGTAGAAAGCCTCATCTCCTTAAAAAATGATTGCAGCAGTATATCCAAAGACAGCTACCAGAAATTTAAGGCTGATTTAAAAGAGGACTTGGACTAAGGATAGCATTGTTGATATCAGCTGGACCTTGAAAGAAGAGAATACCAGAAAGATGTTTACTGGTGCTTTATTGACTATGCAAAGGCTTTCGACTGTATGGATTATGACAAGCTATGAGTAACATTGCAAAGAATGGATATTCCAGACCACTTAGTTGTGCTCATGAGGAATCTGTATGTAGAAAAAGATGCAGTCATTCAAACGGAAAAAGGGAATACTGAATGATTTAAAATCAGAAAAGGAGTTGTATTCTTTCTCCATACTTATTCAATCTGTAGACTGAGCAAACATTATGAGAATCTGGATTATTTGAAGAAGAATGTATGTTGCATCAGGACCGGAGGAAGACTCATTAAAAACCTGCAATATGCAGATGGATTGTACCTCAGTGTAAATAAAACAAAAACCCTCACCATTGGACCAATAAATAACAACCTGATAAATGGAGAAAATATTTAAATTGTCAAAAACTTCATTTTGCTTCAATTCACAATCAACACTCATGGAAGCAGCAAGCAAGAAATCAGACATATTGTGTTAGACAAATCTGCTGGACAGGGCCTTTTTTAAGAGTTCAAGAGCAAAGATATCAGTTTGAGGACTAAGGTGTGCCTAACTCAAGCCACTGTATTTTCAATAGCCTCATATGCATGCAAGAGTTGGACAATGGTTAAGGAAGATTGTAGAAGAACTGACGTATTTGCGTTTTGGTGTTGGAGAAGACTATTGAAAGTATCATGGACTGCCAGAAGAATAAACAAATCTGTGTTAAAAGAAGTACAGCCAGAATGTTCCTTAGAAGTCAAGATGGTGAGACTTGGTCTCATATTTTGGACATGTTGTCATGAGGAACCAGTCCTTAGAGAAGGACATCATGCTTGGGAAAGTGGAGGGTCAGTGAAAAAGAGGAAGAACCCCAATGAGATGCATTGACACAGTGGCAGCAGGAATGGACTGAAGAGAAACAATTGTGAGCATGACACAGGAGCAGGTTGTGTCATTCTGTTGTGCGAAGGGTTGCTATGACTCGGAATTGACTCGAAGCACCTAACAACAACTACAACATAGAAGCTGAAAGCACTAGGGACCAGACAGTATTCACAGAGAACCCAGAAGATGCAGTTGTAATTAAACTGTTTGTACATCTGGATTAAAGTAGCAGAAACTAAAAAGTGTCCAGTCTCATGATACTATTCTAAGCGTGTTCTACTTCAATCATTCTATAGAAGATTAATATGTTGTTAAGTGCCTTTGAGTTGGTTCTGACTCATAGCAAACCTGTATAGGGTTGCCTAGAAGTGGCTGATGAATTTAAACTACCAACCTGTATTTAACAGTTAGTTAAATCCTACAGCACCACGCAGAACCCAGAAATAAGAGTAAAAATATTCATTCTTCCAAGAAAATGCAAAACATGCTTCGCAGTGTTCTTAAAAGTCTAAGTGCCTATCTATCACTTCAATTAACAAATCATTTTATAATAATCTCTTTCTTTGAATATGTCTTACCCTTGAAGTTTGAGGAGCTTAAATTGGGCCCTATATATATGTGCATTTAAACACATAGCGCAATATTTGGTTTTAAATTATCGTGCCCAATACTTGTCTATACCTTCTGAAATTCAGTGTTTCTCAGCTAAAGTAAGGCATATTGCCATTATTATTGCTATTGACATTAGTTAAGATACCTTTAATGGATAAACGTCTACAATGCAAGGTCCTTCTTGTAATCTTCCTCTTACTTACTGACATTTCAGTATGCTCTAGAAAGCAGCAGAAGCACTAAGAATTGGGAATACATAGAATTCCAATTCCACATGCTTTCTCCACTACCCTTTTCTTAATGTTAGCTGAGATTTATCTTTTAGGTTGAAATAGGTGAAACTTGGTGCTCTCTGGTATAGAAATCCTTGCATATTCTTGGTACTTAGCAATCTTCCTGCTGATAATTAGATAAAACTGAGGATTATTTTGCACTGGAGTCTTATGAAGCCTGGGGTGCCATAAATGAGATATGTAGCAATATATCAAGTTAACATTTCGAGATTAGTGCTATAGGATCAGCACTGGACTGATAACACACGGTTGGCAGTTCAAATCCTCCAGCCGCACCTGGAAAACCCTATGTTGTTGTTATGGGCTGTAGAGTCGGTTCCGACTCATAGTGACCCAGTACAGGGTTTCCAAGGCTGTAAATCTTTACGGGAGCAGGAAGCTTCATCTTTCTCCTGCGGAATAGCTGGTAGTTTCAAACTGCTGATGCGGTTCGCAGCCCAGTTCGTAACCACTATGCTATCAGAGCCCCTTGGAAAACCCTATACAAGGAAGGGTCCTATGAGTTGGAACCGACTTGATAACACTTAACAACAATAACAACAACAGTATAGTTACTTAATATGATTCTAGATGCTGAAAAGAATTAAAGCAAATTTATATACAATTTGCATATATTTCCCTCATGGGTACAAAATCTAGTGGAGAATGGAAATATTAGAAAATTTCAATACAATATTTCAAAATGAAGCAAATGCTATATCAAATTGGAAATCAGTGTCTAATGTGAGTTCTGAGGAAGAAAATATTATGGTTTCAGAAAGTACTAATGATGTTCCAAAAAAATAGATTTTCCTTAGGCTTCAGAATTATAATGAAATATTTTTTAAATAAAAATGGGTAATAAACTATCATGAGCAAGTAATAGAGGCAAGTGAGGTCAAAATATATGATGGGGCTTCAAAAAGTTCATGGAAATTTTCCATTATCTTTTACTTAATTTTTTCTATGAGTTTTTTTTAAGCTCCTTATTTGCTCAATATTAATACATTCCAAAGTAGTTTATAGATTGCCTACAAACATAATTTGGGTCTCAAAATAAAAGGTTTTGAAAACAGTACTAAAGAGTTTTAACATTATGTTATAGCCATGAATATAAATTTTGAGGAGAGGCTCAAAATGACCCAAATTCAATTTCAGGAGACTTGTCTGACATCAAGGAAAAGATTAATTAAAGATACATGAAGGTGATAAAGGAAAAAATAGCTATATTGTGATTTCAGTAGGAGTTTTACAAAGTGATGTAAAGGAAGAAGAGTCCTGTAGTTATATATCAACATGGTATATTCAGATAGTTTATTTGGCAACTGCAAGAAAGAGTTCTTTGGGAGAATGTGAAGACAAGAAAGTCAAATGAAGACCAAAAGCAATAGCTAGATATTCCGTGAGTGAAAACGAAGAAGTATCCTTATTATGGGAATGAAGAGAAAAAGATGGTTGCATCTGAGAAATGTTAAGACCTTCTTTTTGGCTATGATGTTAGAATGACTCAAAGTTAGATGTACATTTTGTCTGATTTTAGAAACAGCACCATGTTTTGGGAAAAAGCAGGGAAGAAGAGTGATGAATTCAGAACTCAAAATCTGAAAGCATATGACAGTTGATTTCTGTGACTAATGCTTTTCAGGGATTTCTCTAGGCACTGTCTTTTCTCATTCAGATAGCACTCTCTCAGATGTACTCCAATGGAGTGGGTCAATGAAACAGTGGTGAGAGAATTTGTCTTCCTGGGCTTCTCGTCTCTGGCTGGGTTACAACGGCTGCTCTTCATTGTCTTCCTGTTCCTCTACCTCTTCACTCTGGGCACCAATGTCATCATCATTTCTACCATTGTACTCGACAGAACCCTTCACAACCCCATGTACTTCTTCCTGGCTGTCCTCTCCTGCTCTGAGACCTGCTACACTTTTGTCATTGTACCCAAGATGCTGGTTGACCTACTTGCCCAAAAGAAGACTATTTCTTTCCTGGGCTGTGCTATCCAGATGTTTACTTTCCTCTTCCTTGGTTGCTCTCATTCCTTCCTGCTGTCAGTCATGGGTTACGATCGCTATGTTGCCATCTGTAACCCACTGCGCTATACAGTGCTCATGGGACATGAGGTATGTGTGGGACTAGTGGCTGCTGCCTGTGCCTGTGGCTTCACTGTTGCCCAAATTATCACATCTTTGGTATTTCATCTGCCTTTCCACTCCTCCAACCAACTGCATCACTTCTTCTGTGACATCTCCCCTGTACTCAAGGTGGCATCCTACCATACTCACATTAGTCAGATTGTCATTTTCATGCTATGTGCATTGGTCCTGGTTATCCCCCTGTCATTGATCTTGATATCCTACATTCACATAATCTCTGCCATACTTCAGTTTCCTTCTACACTTGGCAGGTACAAAGCCTTCTCCACCTGTGCATCTCACCTCATTGTTGTTACTGTGCACTATGGCTGTGCCTCATTTATCTACTTAAGACCTAAATCTAACTACTCCTCAAGCCAAGATGCTCTGATTTCAGTGTCCTATACTATCCTAACTCCACTATTCAACCCAATGATTTACAGCCTGAGAAATAAAGAGTTCAAAACTGCACTTCGTAGAGTTGTGGAAAGAACAATTTTCCTGCCACAGCATTAATATAGATCCTGCTTTTTTTCCAAAATGTAAAACAAAAAATAATTGTAGAAAAATTACCAGACCAGAAATAACCAGGCATCTGGGGACAGTATTTAAGAGCATATCATTTCTCCTTACTCACCAAACATAAAATGTAAAGAAAAAGCAGTTTGCTGCTAAATCACATGAATTGTTGTTGTTGTTGTTATGTGCCGTGGAGTTGTTTCCAACTCATAGTGACCCTGCATAGGGTTTCTGAGGCTAAAAATGTTTACAGAAGCAGAAAACCTCATCTTTCTCCTGCGGAACAGCTGGTAGTTTCGAACTGCTGACCTTGCGATGAGCAGCCTGATTTGCAAGCACTATGCTACCAGAACTCCTTATTATTTGGCCATTAAATTAAAGGAAAAACAACAGATGGATATTATAGGAAACCATTCAAGTATTTAGCATTCTAGGTTCTGGCAAATACAATCATCCAATCAGACCCTGACTAGAAACCAAGCTTGCAAAATAATATACAACCCTAATGCTCAAGTCTAAGGTCCTAGGCAGTTCTTATCTTTAGATCGCCCCTTTTCTGGGTCTTTTCCTGAATTTCAGAATTTTAATAGTCAGGTCACTGTTTTTAATGAGATAATGTTTGTAAAGTACCAGCCACAATGTTTGGTACATAAGAGATATCCAATTAATGGTCAAGTAAGAAAATGGGAAAATTATCTATTTATAAGTTTCTAATGTATGTGTTTCTAATGTCCTGGTGTGGCAGTGTGGGTTAATGCACTGGAATGCAAAGTCTGTTTGAGCCACAAGGTCAGCAGTTCAATCTCAGCAGTCGTTACTTGGACCCTATACAGTGTCGCTATGGGTTGGAACCAACTTGACGGCACTTAACAACAACAATCACAGCAATGTATTAATGGCAGCTGAATTTTATATTTTTTTCATTCACTGGCACTATCTAAATTGGGTTAAAATTCCTTGAGGACATTCACTGAGACACAGGTTAGAGAGAAGACCTGAACTCATAAGGAGTGGTCAACAAAGGCAGGTTTTGTTTAAACCCATTTCATTAAATTTACACCAAATGGAACTCTCCGTGTAAAGAGCTAACAGTTGCTGTTCTCTCTGCATCTCAGGAGTCTAGTAAGCATTTTTAGGAGAGAACTTGAGCTACAGAGTTTAGTTTTCTCTCCATTCTGCAAGAGTGAGAGCAAACAGGGAGCTTCATATAAAGAGCTATCTCCTCACATTATGTTTCTCTTCAAAATCCATTTGTCAATAAAAGCTTCTTGACTGAATTGTTTTATTTTAAATGTTTTCCCTTTCTTCCATCAAACTCTTTAGTAAAAAAGTTATTATACCTTCTAAGGTTGAAGCAAAAGGGAGGAAAATGGGATCTGTCATTTAAACTCTCTGTTTCATTGTGGGATGTAGAGCTTGTCTGCCAAATATGACATGTAAATGAATCATTTTAAGTCAACTGCATTTCTTCCATTTCTTAGAAATTTGAGACTTGTTGAAGGCAGGGTCTGAAGATCACAGTGATTAAAGCAAATTAATGTCTGTGGACACTGACCCCTCTTTTCTTTGTCTCTATGGTTTAGCCTAGGTCTCTAACCTATCAAATTGCCTGATGAAAAGGACATGAATTGAAAATCTTTTAATATGAGTCAGTTTAATGGATTAAATGTTTACATCTTCATTGTGTGCTACTGTTTACAAATGTTACTTTATCTGTTCTTTATAGTATTCTTGGGACCCATACTTTATAGCTGAGAAAACGGATGCTCACAGAACTAAAATACCACGTCTGTAAGTCAGTCAAATAATGGAGTCCCCATTATTTCATTCCTTTACTAGTGTTCTTTCACTATTCTCACATGATTCCTTACAAAGACTAGGACTTTTTTAATTAACAGAGAGCAAAATACATAAACATTCAGCATTAATAAGACTAAGTAATGTGACATCTAGGGAAAACATAGACTCTCAAACTTAAGATGAATGACCTTCGAATCATACCATGTAGCTCAACTCCTATCCTAGTATAATAGTGTGCATTGCAGGAAGACAAATAAGAAAAGTACTCATCTTTTACTTTTTTCATTTCCAAGGCTTATGAATGTTGGAGTAATATACTAGAGCACTGACAAATGAGTAGGATCACTATGAGCTGAAAGGTTATGCATGTCCAAATGACTCACCTGTCCTTTTTCCATTCTCTGTTTTACCCAAGTGGCTTTGTTTGTTCCATCTGTCTTAGAAGAAGCACAACCAGAATGCTCCTTAGAAGCAAAGATGGTAAGGCTTCTTCTCACATACTTTGGACATGCCATCAGCAAGGATTAGTCCCTGCAGAAGGACATCATGCTTGGTAGAGTGTCATCTAAAAAGAAGAAGAATCTCAATAAGAGGGATTGAAGCAATGGCTGAAACAATGGGCTCACACATAGCAACAATTGTATGGCTGGTATAGGACTGGGCAATATTTTGTTCTTTTGAACACAGGGTCACTATCTACTTGACAGCACCTAACTACAACCATTAAGTTGACCTTGATCCTGCCCTCGTGGGTTAGGGCTGAACATCTTATTCTTCTTATTCCTATTTTCACACACACACACACCTCTGAATATTCTGCAGAATGATGAGATCTTTAAATTTGGGGTTGACTTTAGCAAGATAATGAAGTCCCTTACATGTTTGAACTAGATCATGTGTTTTAACGGGCCATACAGAAGACTCTGTGCTTGCATTCCAGGCATAAATTCTACCAATAATAATAAGTTGGGATTTTGTTTTCCCATTTATCATCTCATATGTGTATATCTTCCCTTCTGATTCCAACTTGTGTTGGTATAGCCCAACAGCAGCAGCAGCAAATAGCTATTGCTCCAGCCACTAACTTCCTTTAGCATACTAAGAACCAATTTTGATAGGGAAAAGCTAAACAAAGTCAAGATCAGGGAATTTCTGTGACCCTGGCCATAATGAAATATAACATCACTAAAAGCACACTTGCACCCTATCAGGTTGGCCTTGCTAATTAGGACTGATTTCCTAGGATACCTCTTAACACTGAACAGACCAATCATAAATAAGAAGACAGCTGCCATCCACTGCATACAATTCTCACATTTTATACTGACAAATCCACCATCAAGCTCACAGCAGTTAACTGATTGATTAGTTGTGTCTTGCTCTATATTTAAATCATTTTATATACCCTCCAACAAAATATCTTTATTTTCAAAAGAACATTTAGTGAAGTTCTACCAGGAGATATAAAATGGCATATTGCATTCTGAAATACACATTTCATTGTTAACATTTTGTTTAGATATTAGATCCCAAATCTCTCTTCTAGATGGCCAGCCTCTTACTGTCTCCATCAGTACCACATAGAGCCTTTACATTTCCCCAATTCCTCTCTCTTGTTCCTGAAACCCCACCAAGCATCAATCTTATCATTCATCTTGTCTACCATCTCTCATTCAAATTCAGTAATGGCCAACACAGTGAAATCAGATATGAATGTGTAAAATGAGGAACAATAACAAAAGCAAGAAAAATTAAAGATCATACAAGTCACAGTCCTGAAATGGAAGACCCAAAAGAGGCTTAGAAAACCCTTATAGGAGCTTGATGTAGGAGATTGGACTATTGCCAGGATTATAGAAAGTGATACATGTTCAAAGCAGCATGAAACAATAGACAGCATAGTGATGAACAGAGAAAATGTTTAAGTAAACTAATATTTAATTTTACTTGTATCTACAATCAGTTCCCATTGGAGCAGAAGTTAAGATATCAAGCAACAAATCACATTCAGCAAATCTGCTGCAAAATACCTCTTTTAAGTGTTAAAAAATAAGGTATAATTTGAAGGCTACACCTGACCAAAGCCATAATATTTTCTATCACCTCATATACATGTGAAAACTGGACAATAAATAAGGAAGCCCCCACCAAAAAAAAATTTTTTTTGATGCATTTGAATTATGGTATTGGTTAAAATTTTCAGGAAGTAGCATATGACCAAGAACCAATAGTATGGAATAAAGAAGACCAAGATGGCCTGAAGACATTGTTGAAAAACAAGGCTACAGGAATTTTCAGAATACCAATTGAAATGTCTCAACAAGAGGATGCAGCACTTGAGATATTCCCTGGACCATGCCAAGAAATTTGGAAGACAGCTACCTGGCCAGCTGACTAGAGAGGTGATTGAATAGAATGTGGAAATCATTGAACAATACAACTAATATGACACACAAGTAAAATTTTGCTGAAGATAATTTAAAAAATGGTCGCAGCACTACATGGACAGTGAACTGCCAGAAAGCCAAACCAGATTCAGAAGAAGACATGGAGATCATTGCTGATATTAGATGGATCTTAGCTGAAAGCAGAGAATATAAGAACGCTCTTCATCTGTTCTTTATTGACTATGCAAAGACATTCAGCTGTATGTATCATAACAAATGATGGATAAGTTTGAGACTAGTGGAGATTGCAAAACACTTGAGCCCATGTAGAACCTGAACATAGATCAGTAAGCAATCATTTGAACAGAACAAGGAGCTACTACATGGTTTAAAATCAGTAAAGCTGTGTAGCATGGTTGTAGCTTTCTGCCATGCTTATTCAATCTATATGTGAGCAAATAGTCTGAGAACGTGGACTATGAAACAATGCTCAACATCATGATAATAGACTGGAGAAATGATCCAACTGAGAAAAGATTAGAGTTGTCAAGGAGATAAATTTATTTGCATCCACAATAAGCACCCATAAAAGTAACAGTCAGGAAGTCAAAAAACATTGGACAAACCTGCTGCAAAATACCTCTTTAACATATTAAGGAACAAAGATGTCACTTTCAAGCTAAGGTGTGCCTGGCACAAGCCATAGTATCTTTAGTTGCCACATAGGCATGGGAAACCTGGACAATGAATAAAGAAGACCAAAGAACTGAGACCTTTGAACTATTATGTTGGAGGAAAATATTAAACATA